AGATGATGATAATAAAAACTATGAAGATGAAAAAGAAGAAGAATAAAAAGAAGAAGAAGAGGAAGAAGAAGAAGAAGAAGAAGAAGAAGAAGAAGAAGAAGAAGAAGAAGAAGAAGCAGGAGAAGAAGAAGAAAAAAATGAAGAAGAAGAGGAAGAAGAAGAAGAAGAAGAAGAAGAAGAAGAAGAAGAAGATAATGACGATGATGACAACGATGATGATGATGTCGACGATGATAAAAAAATTGATGATGATGAGGAGGAGAAACAGAATGCTGACGACGATGGCGAAGAAGATTATTCTTCTTCAGCCAGCTTAGCGTATGGTCACAAAACATGTACGGAATGAATGTCAAATTTAATTGATTGATATTTTGCCTACTTTCCTTCTATAAGTTTGTATGTTTACGTGTTTGTTTGTTCGTATGTTTGTTTGTTCGTATGTTTGTTTGTATGTTTACGTGTTTCTTTGTTTGTTTGTGAACAGGTATGTATGTTTAAATGTACATATCTATATTTTTATTCGTTTTGTATTTGTATACATTTATGTTCTTATTTATAAGTGTATTTCAGTTCTTTTGGGTGTTCAAATGTCGGTGTGTTCATTCATTCTTTCATTCGTTCGTTCGTTTTTTATTCGTTTATTTTTTCGTTTCATTCTTTCAACTCATTTTTTCATTCACTCATTTCTTTATTTACTGACTACTTAGTTGCTTCATTAATACTCGTTCAGTTTGATGCGTAATTTCATTTATATACACGTCGAAATGTATTTTGCCGCATTTTTTTTCTATTCATTTTTTCATTTTATCTTTCACTCTTTCATTAACTTTGTACTCCTTTTTCATTCATTCATTTAATCTATTACTCATTTATTCATTCATTAAAAAATGTTGTATGTTTTTTTTTACACTCTTTAGACACACACACACACGCCACACACACACACACACATACCACACACACAGACACATCACACACACACTCACACCACACACACATTCACACCACACACACACATACGCACACAAACACGCACACACACGCACGCACACACACGCACGCACATGTATAGATGTGTATAATGCCTACAAATCGTTCGTATGTGTGTGTACTGAAGGTACTATGGAAGAGAATAAAAAAGAAGCGTTTCTTGAAAATTTAAAATTAAAATCTACTTTTAGTCGTTTTCTTTTTTTTTCCGCTCCTGCTTAACTTTATGGCTTCCGGTGTGAGGCAGGAAGAAGAAAAAACTAAAAAAGATGAAACCAAAGATAAAAAAATATGAAAGAAAAACAATGAAAGAGAATTAATTAAATAGAATAGATGAGAAAAAACATATATTTTGTATGACACGTATGACAAAAGATATTAATTTTAAAAATTAATTCAGTCAAAATTTTATAACTTTTATACTTTTTTTTCAAAAAATACTAAAAACGAAGC